TTGTTTATTTAATTTATATGAAGTATATTAATCATCACTGTTACAAGAGGTGCAAAATCTAGACTAGTAGAATTATGGGAAAAGAAAACATGAATTATTCGCGTTTGGAATCATCATTTACGGTAGACATCGCTATTTCGTTTATTTCGAATTTTGACATTTTTTTGTGGTAAAATGTATTGTTCGACGTTTTTCTCTTTTTATATTTTTTTCGACATTTTTCCCCGTTCTAAAATTTGTTTTCGACATTATTCCCTTTCGACATTTTTCCCCTTAAATTTTTGCTTTCGGCATTTTTCCTTTCGACCTTTCTACGGCACACCAGAATCATCGCCGCTAAATCAGCAGGATAACGAAAATGTCTAATAAAGTTTAGCATTTTTCGTAGCATATATTCTGAATTCTATAAATCGATTCATCTGTTTCAGCTTGAAAAATCAATAGTAGCTCCGAATGAAAGCTGAGTAACAACATACAATGAGATAACAATCTTCATGAGTATTTGACTGATTTAATTATTTGCATGTTAGCGACTGGTTGAATGATTTCACAAAAACTAATTACGGCTTTTATTAAATGAAAAATAGTACGGATCATGAAAAGAACCTCGCTCTCCAGGAGCACGTTTCTATGTCAACGATTGTCATAGACTCTACAATGCACACCTTTCTCTATGCTTAATGCTTGAAATCTGATGGTTGTAAGAACACTGATTAAAATGGAAATTGAAGCAAAAAAAAACATTCTGTTTTTGTTAAAAACATACTGAGAATTTTTGTTTTTGAATAAATTTGTTTCCTACCTGAGACTTATTCAAATAATTATGTCTAAAAACTGTGCTTCAATGCGCATTCTTAGAACATCTATTTGATTTGTAATCCATTGAAAATATATCAATTCAGGCTACGACTCGTTTTTTTCTTTGAATATGAAATTTCTGTTCTTCTCGAGCGAGAATATCGATACCTTAGTTAATGATAATTGGTTTTCTCGTTCTAGTTCTTGTTTTTGTAATGTTTCTCGTCGTTTTCGATTATTATCAACAAGTTCTCTATGCCGTTGATTTTCTTCATCTGTTCGAATCAGCTCTTCTTTCATGCCTACTTCAAAACAACGACGTAAACGACACGATGAACATCGACGAATTTGTAAATAACGCATTGCCATATCGTTACTATCAGTATTATTTTCATCGAATGGATTTATATCAGAATGATGACAGGGTAACGTGAGAACCTGTATAATTATCAATTTTTCATTAATAGACAATAGAAACTCATTGTAACAATTTGCTTACATCTTTTCGTCGAGCATTACGACGGAAAAATGCTTTTTTAAAAACAAATTAAGTTTCTATTAGAAAAATATTGCAAGAAATTGTCTAAATAATTAAATACCTTTACATGGAGCACATGATGACACGCCGAAATTTATGCCGACTGCCTTTGAACCACATACAATACATTCATGATTGAAATTTAATGTTCGATATCGATTATGATTAACAGGAGTTGTGTTCATTGTTTAAAATGTGTGTTACTACTTGATATGAAATCGAAATAGGTTTTCTTAATAGTATTTAAACGAAGTTACCAAAGAAGAAAGAAAAAAATTGGTTTGAACGTTTGTCTTTGAAGATAATTTTGTTTATGATTAATGCATCAATGATTTTCTAATGTCACGCAAGTTGGATGTACCATCAGCAACTTAAATGTCATTACTGTTAAATTTATTTAGTTTTTATGACGAAAAAAAATATTGCGAGAATGAGTTAAGCATCCAAATTGAGATAATTCAAGAAATTTCTATCACTGCTGATAGGAGTTGATTTAAAAACGATAATATAAATTGAAGCGTTGGACATTTCTCTCAACTGATTTTAAGACAAAGTGCACCGAGTTTACACGATTGTTCTTACATTTCTTCTATTCACACCAAGCAAAATTCGTGCATAATTTTTAAGATAACTTTTTTTAATTCAAATATATGGCTTGCAAAACAATACTTCGAAAAAGTATTTTCTCAGGTATCTAATTGAATTTCTCGTTTTATACCAGAATACCGACCTTATCACACTAGAAAGTGGCGACTTTTGTTATCTCCAGTTTTTTTCTATACGCTGACAATTTAAACAATCGAGACCGCTTAGCTAATAGTATTTCTACAAAGAGAATAAAATTACTAGCCACTAGATTCTATTAATAAATACCTCCAAGAGAATACTTAAAAAGAAAACATAATACACTTTACTGCTTACTTACAAAGAAAAAGAAAATTGTATGAAGTCTATTGTTTATTTTTGATTATAGATATAATATAATAATCTTATCACTATTCGCTGACTAATCTCATAGTAAAATAATAAATTTAGAATCTAAGCTATTTCATGGAAATCGAACGTCTCTTCTTCACTAACATTAATATTTGAACGTATTCTTTTTCTTTATCGTGCATTTGTCCTATTAATAAATCGCGATTTTTTCTTTTTCTTAACACTGTCACCCCGGAGCAAAGTAGATTCAAATTAGAGTGCAGAATGTTTTACAAAAAAAAAAAGAAAAGCAAAGTGTTTTTTGCATTCGAATGACATAAAAATATCTTTTAGGAGTGTCATGTTTCTTACTCTTAAAGATTACTTTGTTCAATGGAAACAACTGATGAAGAGATTGTTTAATAGATAGTAATACTTTTTGAAAGGCTTTTCAGTATAATTTCATAAAAGAAAAAAATCTTCAACGTACAGATGTCGATTTACTGTAATATAAAAAAAACAGCGAGAACAATAATGAGAATTATGATGAATTCTCGATCAATATTTGATTTCAGGTTCGCATAACTGATTTTTCTCTTTCACGTACAAAAAGTGGGAGAATGTAAATTAGGACAAATATGTCTGAAGAAAAACAGTTCTTTATACTTCTTTCTTATTTTGCTTATACATGGCTTACGAATGATTAAAAAAACCAAACTTATCACCACAGTTTCTATAGGTCAAACAGAGAAAAAGGAAAAACAATAAATATATCTTTTAAATTCGACATGTACTCGAGCCGTTTAATAGCGAATATCTAGAAAGATTGTTTCCCATGAAAAGAAAAACAATTTTACTGTTATTTAAAAAAATACAATACATCAGTTTTACCGTGGACACCGCCAAATATTGAAAGAATGAAAAAGACATTTTACAGACTTTTACTTATTTTCTCTTCTCCTTGTATAAGAATGCGACATCGAACGCAAGAAAAAGAAGTACATACACGAGTACACATACTCACAGTTGTAGTCTTTTATTAGCTATTATTATTATTATTATTATTATTATTATTATTATTATTCGAAATGACACGTTCTCTTAATTCTAGGCTTTTTTACATTTTTCTGTCTTCGTGGTCATCACTGTTGTCACTCAATTCTTTCCTTTTTTTTTATCATTTAATATATGAACGTATTACTTGCAATTTACGATGCGTATGATATTTAAGTACGTCAAGAGAATAAACTATGAATTAAGTAACGTTGTATACAATCAAAAAGGAAGTCTATTTTATTTATTAGTTATTCTATACCGAAATTTCTTCTTTGTAAAAATAGACCTATTATTTTACATGATATGCGTTCAACTTAAAGTTGCTATTTTTCTGAAGATTTACTAATGAGACATACTTATATTGAGAGTATAAGTGTTTCTTTGAAATATACTTTAGTCTAGGGACATCTTTTGTCCTGTATCTATTATTCGAAAGAATCTAAAAGTAACAATGGACTGCTTATTTTTTTCTAAGCTTTGTTATACTACAAAACTATAGTCTTTAAAAATTCATTGACAGGAGATCGTAGACGTAGAAGGCCTTAAATAATGGCTCATCACTAGTAATTAAATTTTTGAATTTATTTTTCTATTAGAATGTTGAATTCGTTCGCCAAAACCAAACTCTAGTCATAATATAAGGAAGTGTTTAAAATTCTTACTTTACAATAGTATTCTAGGCTCCGGCAAATTTATTCCTAAATGTAATTTAAAGCATTTTAGCATATTGCTAATAATCAGTAGACATTGCTTTTATACATGACTAGATGTGTGGTAATTTCCGGTTCTATGAACTGAAATCAAGAGATCAGATAGATTGTTTCAAGGGCTTTATTTTTCAATGATTAATTTCATTTTTCTTTTTCTATGAGCATGACTTTCGGAACACATTTCAAAGCCATTTTCACCATCCAGAAATGATTGACTGAGATAAAAAAAAAAGACTTGTTATTTTCAAAAGCAAAGTGTTTATGAGATGAGTTAAACAAGTCAATTGGAAATTATCTCTTGCAAGATGATGGAATGTGAAATCAGAAAGATAATCAGTCTGAAAATGTAAGATTAGAGTTTGTACAATGAAATTTGTTTCTTGGAAATAATATCGTTTTTATGGCATACATACTGACACTATCGGAGGTTGTTATGTAGAGACAACATTTGAATTTACTGAGGTTATTTGATGAATAATGTTCTACTACTATCAGCAATGCTACGTGAAAAATACAACTAATAAAAATAGAAGTTTCCAGGGGAAAATGACACTTCGTCTCACGTCTTTTTTACGAACTCCGGTAAAATAATTTGTTTACCATCTTCTGACATGTAAAAAAAGACATGGAAACCGTAATAAAAAGAAAAGACGACACGATTTTCGCAAGTATGCTCAGGTTTTGTTTCCCTGTGAGAAAATATGAAGTCATACGCTATAGTCGCAACCTAAAATCACGTATAGTCAACGTTTCGGCGGATTCAAGCAACTACGATTGCACGTCTGTTTACTATAATAAGTCTAGTATTAGCTACTGTTCTCCTTATTCCTTCAGTACTTTCTGTTACAAGATACTAGCTTTATTGAAAGAAAATAAATAAATATATATTCATGACTCCAATGTTAATGTACATCATCCTTCTATTTATTCTTCGATGAGTGTACACGTTTTCTGAGCCTGGCTATTTTTCGATGTTGAAGCAATGAGATCGGATTGATATGATGACGTGCAAGATGAAGACAAAGCAGCAGTAGTATGATCGCTGGGTCTAACTCTAAGATGGTTCAATATTGGAGTTGAACGTAAATAAGATTTAGGAACAGCTTGCTCAGTTGTTGCTTTCGACAACTGCTGGTTTTTAATCAACTTATACCCTTAGAAACCACTTCTGAAACGATAGTACAAGGAGTATATGTAGAGAAAGAATAATCGTCTACTTATATAATCATGGATGTAATCAAAAGTGCAACCTATTATTGTCTATAAGAGCAGAAGTTCTTTATATCAATTACAATACCCTTAAAAAATCTTTTACGGACTCCACGTTTAAGTATCCTTAGAATTTCCTTTCGAACTACCGACGGTGTTTATTACGATCTTCAGGTGTTACATTAAAAATAGCAAAAATACTCTATTCCGAACATCTGGTAAACGCGTTACGATCTTCCTGCTGTCTCTTACGAACTCCGGTACATAGATGTTTACCAACTCCCGTCATAAATTTTTACAAATAAAATTCATTTCCGAACTGCTGGTAACATTTACCGGTGTACGGAAGAGGTGAGGCGAAACGTAAGTCATCCCCTTTTCAGCTCCATCAAACACTTGTTATAATGCATTAAAAACTTTTGCTGATCGTTTTAAGTATTCTAAGCATGTTTTATTTTAATTTTATTATTCTCTACATTGAAAGATCTTAGTGAAACAAAAATGAGTTCTTATTTAATTCAGAAACGCATCACTTATTTATAATATTTTTTAATTTATATCGGAGTCATTGATATATGTACTCTTCTTTAAATATAGATCAGTATAATTGAAGCAGAAAAAAAGGAACAGATTGGAAAATAAATGCAAAAGTATTCATAAATTCTTTTTCATTACTTATTTCTTTTTAAAGAGTCGTATTGATCAAAACATAAAATAGACGTGACTATTTGTTGATTATACTTTCAACAGCAATTTGTACTTAACTCATTCTATTAATCATCGTGTTGTGAATCACAAATATTCAATTTAGTCAAAAAAATAATTAAGAACTTCGACTGAAAAATTATAATTTAGATTAGATTCAAAGGAGATTTTCAATTGTTTTTGCCGTGTCTAATTCAACTATTAATTCGTTGCTATCTGCAGAAAGCTAAGTTTTTCATGATATATTTTGTATGAAATTAGTGTAATCTAAACTATTCATTGTTTCTGCCTATGTTGAATTATTTAGATCTGCTAATCAGTCTGTATATTTAAGAAGGAGAAAAAATTAGAATATTTACTATTCTATTCATTCATTGTATGTTGGTTCAATCGTCAATTTTACAATTCAAATAAAAAGTCAGTTATGATTAAGTAGGAAAAGAAAATGAATATTGATTGGAAGATGAAGTTTTAGTTTCAATGACAACACATGGATAACCGCAACCACCATTAACTTGCCAAAATAGAAGAAACGACTTGTATAAAAATATTGAAACCTATAAAAATAAATGTGGAAACTTCGAATTTCATCCGAGAGTTATGTGTACTGCAAAAAGTGCATGGGACATATGAGTCATTCTAGAATGTCTGAACACGAAAATTATCATGAGAAACTAGGCAATTTGATTTCTGGACGCAGCTTTTGTGCATTTTGAGACGGTTTTCATGCGATGTTTCGTTAGAAAGCTACGATTTAGTTCAAAACTAATATCAGATTCGGAATCAGCGTTAAAAACTGAGTCGATTTATATATGTTGTAGATAGTTCTGAGAAAAATTGTTTTTTTTTGAAAAATCCCTTTACTCCCCCTCAGGGATGGTCTGGCCAAAAATGACAATGTTTTCGATAACTCAGCCATTTCTGGACGGATCCTTCTCATCTTCGAACTCGACCTAGATATTGATGAGACAATTCTGCGCACAAAATTTCAGCGCAATCAAATGTAATTGTGAAGAGTTATCGAATAAATGGACTGCCAGACGGCCGGACGCACTGACCAATTTTAGTAGTGTACTCATTTGTTGAGCACACAAAAACAGGAAACTAATAAGATCGATGAAAATATTTTCTAATTGAAGTAATATTATAATGGAAAAAGAATCTTGCCGTAATGATATACATGTGCTGGTGCGATAGAGATAATAAAGTATATCACATATAATCAATGGCGGGAAATAACTATATTCCTCACGATAAATGAATTCAATACTAGATGAAACAGTTATATCTTCTTCTTTTGAAATGCTGTTATTTTGAATACAAATGAAAGATGAGAACCATATACAAAAGTACGTCGCCATCCTCCATCGAATGATATATGTAGATTGAACTTACAATTGAGACATGATATCGATCTTATGAAAGTCACTTTCACAAAGAGAAATCTTTTAAAAAGAGTCTCTTTACATGTTGGTTTCATGATTATCCAAGCGTCAGAAGCAGACTCAAAATTTAATTACTTTGAACATTTAACGTAAAATAAAAAAACAAAACAAAACAACATTCATGTCATGGTTTTAATTTGCTCCTGTTCAACACTGTAGCACTGCTATTTGTATTAATTGCGTGTCGTGTGATGAGAACTTTCTGCCGGCAATGGCAAAAACACTGATTTGAGTTACCACGAAAATGATCTATCTTAATAAAAATTAACAGATGATACTAACAACACCTTTCTGATGACTTGCGAATATATAGATAGGTAACAATTATATTAGCCTTTTATATAAACGAATGAAAATTAATATTTGTGCAAATACGATTGAAATAAGATGATATCATAAAATGAGTTTGATGTTCGAAGCATAAATCTAGCACATGAATCGATGAAATTCGGACAAGTAGTCAAGAGTATATAATCGAAAATATAACAAAATCATTCACTCGAAACTACAAGTTTTTCAATCAATCATTGTCTTATGGATCAAATTTTCAAATGTAATAATCCTGATGTTTTTATTGGGCCTAGTTATTGGATTTTCATCATTAATATTCAATGATAAATATTGAGTTCTGTTTGTCTATTAAAATTATTTAACTGACAGATATAATTATCGTCTAACAAATGTCAATTTTCACATCACATATTTTTATAGTTGACATCACTAAGATTTACTTTGATTGATTAATGTCGTAGCAGCTGTAAAAACAGTTTATAGTAAAAATCAATTACAAAACAACGACATCACATTCTGATTCATTTCTAACCCATTTCGTCGTAGACTAATCTTTGTCTCACATCTAGGCTGTCCAGTATCAATCCAGTGACGTGAAAGATCAAGTTTAAAAATCGATTGTAATGGCTCTCCTCCAAACACAATCGAAACCTACGTAAATATCAAATAACCATTTCACTCATCATCACGATGTCACAAGACAACATACGCAACAATATTTTCTAATCCTCTATTCTAAATAGAATCTTGCACATTCTACTCCTCACATGATATCAAAATTGAAATATCTCCATGTGATTCAATGACAAAAGATATTGTTCAAATTCCAATGATCAGTTTTTATTGGTGATAAAATTGCAACCGATAGTTGACTTAGTTTTATTTTTGGATACCTTTGTCTTTGACTAAAACTCATGATTACAATCATTTATCATATTAATCCGAGATCATTTTCTATTTGGTCTGTCTACTATGCAATAGAACAGCACGACCTGAACATGATAAATCAAGCTTCAAATGTAACATTACTTTTGTAAAAATAAACTAAAGGACTTGAAAAGAGCACATATACGCTGTCTAATTATAGAAGCACGTTTTACTCTAATAAAGCGACTTCATATAATGATGTCAAATAATAGAGGATGAAGGTTTTAATTCCAAAAACCATTTCTAGTTAAACACGACAAATCTTCTTCATTAACACAGCCAATAGTAATTTCATTAATTTGTTTTGTTTTTAAATTAGTAGGATAGGATGAAAAAATGCTCTACCAGTAATTATCAAATTTCTATATGCCTGTTAAATAATTATAATGATAATGACCCTCAGATTTAAAAATATCTTTTAATTTTGGCACAGTTGATAGTCGCACTAAAGAAATAATTGAACGATCCGGTCTTCTCTCTCGTGCGCGGAACTGGTTGGTCGCTTTTGAAGTTTATTTTCAAACTACATTGTGTGTTATGATACCAACTATAGTTCACTACTAATATTCTCGTATTCGATCATTAAATGGTAAAGTGTCATCAGTATCAGTTTTCTATTATTGTTATACTTATTATAATAAAAACAAATATTGACTAATCGTTTCATTGAAATCAGATTTATTTTAATTTAAAACTTTCCGTTAAAAAGAAAACACACTTATAATTTATGTACATGTTAAAATAGAAAAAACGACATGATCACCGGTTTACCATAAAGTCAGCCATCATTTTTTAGCGACATTCATTGCTAAAATAAATTAATATAATTTTTATGAACGAAAAAATTATTCATTCTGCATACCTGACTATAGTATCTGAAATACAGTAAATTCAAAGAATATTCTCTATTTCATAAACGTGCAACATTATTGTTTATTGACTATATATAATACAGAAATGTTTGTAATTATAAAAACGTTAGCCGTTTGTTACATACGCCTTTGCTATTTCTTTTAGTCATCGTTTTACTTGTATCTACCAATGGATTCGGCATAGTAGATTCATCATCGTCATCAGCATCGTCAAATTCTCTGGAAAAAAGCAGAATGAAAAGTAATACAATACAATACCATTGAATAGAAGTTCTTGATTATTATAAGTTAACATACTGAGCTCGGATAGCAACAGTTGCACGATGTTGCATATGTCGACGGTGGGCATTTGCTGAATGATCTAATGAAGCACTTCGTTGTTTCATTTCAGCTAAATAAATAAAGAAATCACGTTTGTATTTTATGACTTAATCTGTATCAACACGGTGAACTAAACCGAAGTGTTATATAAACATCTAACTAATATCTCAAGCAAATAATTCTTGATATCTACTGAATGAATATTTAATTATCTACGATGCTGTTTAACTTAATGTTACATATAAGAGAAAGCCCGTATGAAACTAATGAGAGATAAAAATAAGATTTGATAGTTATTAGATAGCTCGGAAAATTTTGCAGGCAAGATAGTGACCATTATTGGCAGTTATAATTTGTGAGTAATCATTATTTTTATAAGCATTTAATAAAAGTTGCCTTTTTGATAAGTTACTCTCTATATGAAGATTTTCCCGTCGATAACGTATTGATCTAAATTCAGCGACCGAACTTTCGCTTCATCATTATCTTTGTTCAGCATTCTTTCAAAAACAAAATTGAAATCAATCTCACTGCAACGCAAAACAAAAATCCTTGTATAACTACAAACCTCGCCGTTGTTCTGTCTGTAGTGTAACACAACTTTTAATTGTATCGATCCAACGTACACTCAATTCTTCCACTTTTTCACCGTTGGAAGGCATATTTTGAAGCTAAATAGAATATTTATTTCCCATTAAAATTATTTTCAAAATTTATCAATTTACTTGAATGATATATGACCAATCTTTAAGCACAAGTTCAAATCTATTTCGATTATTTTTCGGATGCGTACATACAGCAATATCAGCAACCTAAAAAAAGCAAATAAAATTTCAATAAAAACAAGCACAAAATGTTTTCATTTATTTTACTCTGATAATTTCTTTAAATTGGTATTGAATAGATTTTCCATTTCCTTCATCTTTTCTCTTACATAATAATATATCACGTTCAAATAAAAATACATCTCTTGTACTTGTTTTTGTTCGTGTATAAACTGTTCCGCGACGTTTTTCTTTCGATATTAAACAATTTTCACCACGTAAACGTATTCGGCCTAATGTATTTAAATTTTCCTAGAAACAAAGTATTATATTAATTTTAGTAAAATAATCAAAATTGTTGTAATTATTTCTGTCACATACATGATAGCCGACAATTTGTGTCGAATGCATAACATCGTTTAAATTACTTAGAATACCGAGCATAACACGAAGTGCTTCTTGTAACTGCAAACGTTCTTGTTCATCACGTGTATATTTAATCATTTCCTTTGATAACGATAAATGCATGAACTCATATTTTTCAATAATAAAATACTTGAAGGAAAAAAAATTACCTTTAGTAAAAGTTGATACTGTGCCATTCGTTGTATTGGTTTTAGTAAATATGAATCTAATGGTAGACGATGACCCAATGATTGTTGAATTTTCTAAAGATTTTTGAACAATATTATTCGAAGGTTAAAGTTAACAAAAAAATATTTACTGTAAAAAATGTATGTCCAGAACAAAATTGTTCCCATACACGGTCTGATTGAGATTTATTAACAACATATTTTTCGTATAGTTTAAAATTTGATTTCTAAAAATTAAAAATTAATTCAATTATTCGTTCGTAAAAAATTTTTCCAATGGTTAAATTGAGGTTCAACTTGAATGCAGATTCTTATGAGCTCTGAATATTGAGAAGTAAAATCTTAATATTATCACTTAAAATCTCTAGTCGAAAATTCATATAAAGAAATATTTTTATGAGATTTTTAATTCTTTGATCTTCTTCTAGAAATATCAATTCTGAAACAATTAAAAGTAGCTGAAATCCTCAGGTTCAATCAGTCTTTTGAGGATTTTTCTCTATAGAAAATCTCAACTTTCAAATTAATACCCGTAATTAATTCACGAGTTTGTGCTGTTAATATGCTACAAAATCTGTCAGAGAAACAAGAAACTTGATTTTTCTCTCCTAAATCATGCTCTATGATGGACGAGAATGTAAAAGTTGATATTTTAGCACAAAAAGAACCAATAAAATCAACACTTGAAAATAAATGTAAATCTTACGCTGACTTCACTCGCATTCCCTTTTGAATAACAATAAACAACATGAGAAAACTTACACGCTTAACAAAACACGCTGCAATTGTGCTACCCATAGAGCATGTATCAACTAACGATGAATCTTCATATATTAGTTGAAGATCACGAAGAAATGATCTAAATAATTGATACAAATGCTAAGTTCAAAATGAACCTTTGAATACTATACTTACGTAGCATGAAATCTATAGATATCAGGTAGATTAGAAAAAAGAACGGATTTATTTTGTAGAATAGCCGGAGGTAAATAACGGTATCTTTCTGGATCATCGAATTTAAGCATATAACCCTATTCAAATAAGAGTAGGCTTAGTACAATTCACTCAAGAAAGCTTAAATAATTACTTCGATGACTGCACGTAATTCTTCGACGTAAACTTGTTCCGTGGCTAATAGTTCGGTAACAACATGTCTATAAAAGAAAAGCATGATAAAATATTTTTCGCGTTTTTTATTTTACCTTTGTTTTTTGTCCATTTTAGCATTATGAGTTAGAGTACATTCACTGTTTATTAAATTATTATTGTTATTATTAGATGATGTTGATGATGACGATGACGATAGATTATGATCAATATCTGAAGAAGGAAAATGTTCGTTCATTTGTTGGTGTAAAATAGATGTTGTAGTACCAATAAGATTAAGGGATTCGTTCTGTTGTAATGATAAAGGATGAACACGTTGTACAGGTCGATTTATCGGCACAGATAATCGACGTAATTGTTCACAACGTTTTTCACATAGATCTCGAACATCATTAACACGATTGAATACTTGAATAATCATGGACTAGAACAATAATTAAATGAAAATTTCTATTCTAGTGAATATATCTGACAGATTCATTTTAATCGTTTACAGAAAGGATCATTTTTCTTAAGAAGTTCTTTTAGGATAATTAACTTCATTATTTCTAACTGTACAAAAATAATTTATGAAGCAAATCGTGTTGCTAGCGGGATTTAGAGGAAGATCTGACTGAAAAAAATAATTTCGCTTCCAGAAATTTTCGAAGGTAAATGAATCCTATGTTACATTGGATTTTGAATTTTTCAGTCGGTTATAAGAGTGTGTAGTTTTATATTTATATTTTTACCGAGTCACGTCACTAACACACGTTTTTTTTTTATTAATTAATCCTCTGAGCAAAGGTCTCTAGCAATGATTTTTTTGCCAGGATATGTAGAATAATTTAACATATATTTAACATATTAAAATTTTCCCTAGGACGCTTCATTATCCAAAAAGGATCATACTTTAGTTTTGCCGAGTAGCGTCAATCATGCTGCGTCAAACTCATACAATTAGCGTTATTAATTCTCTGGATCGGTTTCTCATGATGAAACGAAAAATTCCTATAGTAAAATTGTTTATTATTCTTATTCGAATTCAATTAAGTTATCGATCTGTAATACAACTGTCGTTCTTACGGAAACTATTCAGATGAAATGTTTCAAAAAAAAAAAAAAACTCAATGCAACTATTTAATTTAAACAATAAAAAGAAATAACTCTTAAGTACTTGAGAGAAGAAACATTTCTCTTTTATACTTTTAAGTGTTGGTTGAAATAGAAAGTGTCACTTGACTATTTGAATATTCAATGATGTTTAAACATTTATTAAAATCTTACACGAAGTGGTTCGGGTGTTAATGAATGTTGTAGCTCAGTCAAATTAATCTTTGATAAGTCACCAAGAAAATGTTCAAGTTCACTGAGAGAACGGATAGCTTTATCATTGGATAGATGTATGGGATGCATGGCTAACATATCTTTACCGCGTGTGCACCAATCATTAATCTATAAATAAAATCAAAATAAGAACGACGAAAAGCATATTTTTCTATTTTTACTAATTCAAGTTTATCGATATAGGTTCTTAACAATTGCAGATTACTTCGTTTTTCATCGACTTGTTCCGTTAACTTCTTTTTCATTTCATTCAATTCTTGACATTTGGGTTCAATTGAATCGATACCATAGGCCATCGATTTTTGTTTCTGTTGTTCCATGATCAAGTCAAGGCCTTCATTTGCTAGTAGGGTTGCATGACTGATCATTGTCTAGATATATACAAGAGATATACACATTGATATATATATATGCTAGAATAACATTGAATGATATTATTACTTGCGCACGTTCGGAAAGGTCATCAACTTGAATCAATGTTTGATCAATTTCTTCTCGAGTATTACTATTATCAGTTCGACAACATTCAAATAAATGTAAACTTGTATTTAGATCAGGCAATTGAATTATATCATTATATAGTTGAGTAAAACTAGACTGAATTTCTTTAAAACGCTGTTCAAAACGACGTAAAGCAAGACAACGATTTAGTCGAGATTCGTGTAAAATCCAAAATTGTGAAAGAACAGATTCACTATTGTCAACATGTGTCAGTGCGCTAGAAACAGATAATTCGCACTGTGAAAAAACGAAGAACAAGAAAAGCAATTAGAATAAGGCAAACGATGAAAAATAGCAATGACAATGCCAAAACTAATAGCAATATGTCATCGCACTTCTTTCTCTCTTCTTCTCTTTTTTTTTGATATGCAAATAATAATATTAATCGACACACTTACTTGGCACAAGCACGAGCATGCGCAGCTTGATCGGGTGATAATGCAAGATTTTGAATATCATGATTTTCTTCTAGTGAATTATTATTATTAATTGAGGACGTATGTTTATGTTGTTGACGAATAATGCATAAGAGTGAATGGCCCCACCTAAAATGTATAAAGAACGACAGAATGACACAAAACTATGTACAAAGTCAACAGAATAATGTAGATACATGATGATGACGATCATTATCATCATTGTCATCGTCATTATTCAAACTCAGTCATCTTATTGCTGGAATAAGAGAAAACGAGTGGATAAAGAATATCGCCGATGAATGTATAATGCGTGTACCTTTTTCTTCTGCTTCTTCTTCTCTTTCTTTTAATGTCTCTTGTTCTTTGCGTGTATAGTTATACATCGCACATACAATAAATACTACTTCAGATGTCTGCGCAGGCTATAGACTTAAACGAAACGTTGAATAGCACTTGTTGAAATAAGAAAAATATAAACTCAGTCATCAGTCAAATAATCGTAATATGTTTACGAAGAATAATATGAAAATACTTATAAGAGAGAAGCATCTTTCATACATTTTTATTCGTCGTAATTCTTGTTCAAGCTCATTTTTTTGTGTTGAGTGTTGTAAAAGTAGCTGTTGGGTGGATTCAACAGCATTGGGAAATTCGATTTCATCACATTGCTTCATAAAAACAAGTAGCATTTCACTTAATTCGTGAATTGACTGAGTTAGTTTTTCGATGGCCTTTGAAAATAAAAATGAAAAACACGAGAATTACGCGATGTTTAATATGAAATCTTCTCTAATTACTGCTCTTCGTTCAATCCATTCAAATAGACGAAAGTCAATATGACCAGCTAAATCTTTTGATAATTGACTTGCATCTAAATGTTCATGTAGTTCAGCTAATGTTCGACAAACAATCAACTAAATGTTTTAATGAAAGATAAATAAAAATTTCAACGCTAATTTTTTTAGTTAAACACATACAGGATGTGAACATGTTATTTCATTTAAAATAGTTATACGAGATATTGCTCGTTGCATCCAGGAGTTTGGCCGAAGCAGATAAATGCATTTAATTGAATATGGAAAATCATCCTTGACAAACAGAAGATAAAAATACATTGAGTGTACGTAAAAATTTCTCTATAAATATTAATTTTGACTACAAACAGAATTGGATTCACTATCAAGCTTTAATCAAAGAATATCGAATACTTTCAACAGACATAGATATTCTTTTGTAATAAAAGACGACAACATCACGCTAACAAAAGTATGAATATTTGATATCGCATAGGATATACCAGAGTTTCTTTTTATAGAACATGGAAATGAAGGTATAATCAATACAGACCATGGGGTTCTCTTGGCGCAGACAGTATGCATGATCGCAATCAAAAATGCCAATTGACCTCAATAGATTTTTCTAGGTAATTAATAAAAAAGCAAATGCATGGGTTATACGATGATTTCCGACTAGGAAACAATCAGAACGTAGAACAACGCAGTTTCAATGAAATTTTCCCTCAAACTCAGAGATGTCAATATTTAGAGCTCGCAGTCGAACCTTGCTTTTTCGTGCGATCATTATACTTGAAAGCATTTTCGGCTTGAAGTTCGTGTCATAATATAAATATTTATCGTTTATTTTTGATAAAATAACCAATTGAGAGTAATGAAGAGTGTTGCGTAGTTTTCGAGCTAAGATTTTTCTCGTAAAAAAGATTACTAAATCTAATATGATCATTAACATATTATAGATTCTTAGATTTATTTCTTATGTAATCGTTAAAAAAATGCTTATCTCAAAAGGCCTACAATCGATATTTTATGATACACAAGAGTCATGAATAAAACTAATAAATTACATGAAATCGATTGTTATCTTTTCTAAGTCACAAAAATGCAATTTTGATAAAATCTCAAAAAGCACAAAATTCAATTGATGAAAATTATAGTTCAAAAACTAAAATTGAATACAAATAATAAAGAAAAAACAATGTTTGACTTACTTCAATAAACGCCATTATCGATTTAACAGCTACCCATCGATCTAATCGACGATCGATTACAAGTACAAAGCCAAGTTGCCGTTCGTTTTCACTAATTAACAAAAATCACAACGACTCTCGTTTGTTTATTATCATAATTATCGACATATTTTTGTCTACCTCGGTACTTGTGTTAAATAAGCAACAAGCTTTTTATATTTATCTTGCGTTAATTCAATTTGTGGATTGTCGGGGAATGTAAGAATTGGACAATTATGAGATGTTCCACCCGTTACAAATGCAAGTCTTTCACGGAGTAAATCTGCCGTTGATAAAACGCACAGTGATGTTTCTTGGCAGACATGTTCTATGAAAATAAAATTTCAAAAATCAATTTCAAAAGAAAACTTCAACTAATACCTAAAGTTTGATAGAAGCCTAGCAATTCATGTCGCTTATATAAATTCATTGCTGGTAAGTCAGATGAACTTTTTCTATTCTCATCGAACAAAACTTTTATACCGTCTGTCTTAACGTATAAGCGATATTTACTCAGGAAAATAAATAAAAGAGACGCGTATCAATGTATGTGCGACAGTTAGTCGACATCCCCACGTAGGTAATTACGTACAGTACGTGCGATGAACAATGTCTGTCGTGAAATGGATTATAGAAAGGACACGAGAATAAATGATGACTCAAAAGCGTTCGACGCGATGAAAATTCGCTTTTTAACTGAAGTCAAAACTACTGCTGTTCTCTATTTTTAAAAATCAATTGGGATTAAATACCCTCCTCAACGTTATTGATACCATCAATTGATTGAATAATCTCGAAGTCAGATGAATCACTTTGTCTATCAGCGTCGTTTTGTTCAGTAACTATTGTTTGACTATCGTCGTCTTGTATAATTGACGATTGATTCAATGAATATTTTCTTAGATGTTGATTTTCATCGATGATTAATATGGGTATTTCAGACAAATCATTCATCTTGTTCTTTTGTATTGTTTAATAAAAGGTATGCGAAAATTTAAGTTTGCACAAGATATCGAATAGAACAATGTCGTATATACATACAGCTGGCGCATATATAGTCATCATGAATAAAAACTATATTAGGAAAAGGAAAAAACTGAAGAAAAAAAAAGAAAAAAAAAGACGTTCTGAATGTCACTCGCAGAACTGCTTAGCGTTATGTGAAAGAAAATGAAGTAAAGAAACGTGTGTGTTGAAACTTGTTGTTACTCGGCAGAAATATGCTTATAGCTTGAGCGGTTAGTTCACTCGTACGTACATGGCGTCATACGTTGCTTTATGCGGAATGAGCAAATGAAGAAAAAAAGAGAGAAATAATAATAGTAATAATAGCAACAACTGCTAGTATGAAAGACATTGAACGAAACGTACATGGTGGAAGAAAAAGAATCTTTTCTCAATTATTTCCTCCAATATTTTATCGATTAACAAATAATGTTTTAAGACTTTCTATGTTCAATGTTAATATTTAACTTTTGTTCGATTCTCTTCCTATTACATAATGTTCGGCATCATCATATATCATTCGAAAATTTTTCTTTGGTTGAATTGTTCATTAGAAATTCTCTGAACAATTTTCTTTGACGCTTACGCAGATAAAAAAAAAGAAGGTCTTCAAGTACAAATCATTTCTTTTCATGTTGAATGTAATTTTCATCGTTTTATGATCATTCTAGCACTGCAATAAAAAGAAAAACTAGCTTCATAATCACCATTCATAGTTTACGTCATACATCGTTTTTTACTTTGATCAATAGAATAGAAATTCGTTTTCAGTTAATTATCTGTCTTAACTTATTATTCTTAAGTATTTTCCCCTTGATATGTCTCTCTCGGTATGGTAATTAACTCGTAGAATCACGTCATTTTTTTATTTCTAATCCCAAATGATTTCGGACGTCATCTGGCATATACTATTATGTCGCTATATAATTCATTTCGATAAAAACTATTTCAAATAATAGAGTTCATTGCAATGAACATGTTTTCTTCTGTTTTTATTTACCTGATAGTTGATATTTTTTAGTCATCGACAGTGAAGATTGATTAAATGAAAAATGTCTTGGCGATGAAATTTTCGTATTAACTAATTTTGATAATGATACTGATGATGATTTGTCCATAGTAGTATTCAATTTCTTTCCTATTGCGCCGTTGATCACGCACTTGCTCTATTCGTCAGTGAGAGTATCAATACATAAAGATTACTATTGCTATATAAATGTGAGGTGCCATACATTGATGGCACGATGAAGAGCGAGCGCGGGAGGGAGAGAGAGAGAGGGAGTGCATGAAAAGAAGTAAACTTTCCTCTCGGTTTTTTTATATTTTCTTTCTCGTTCTTTGAGATGGACGCGAACAAACATATGAAGAGTTATGATGGTTGAGCACTATTGAACATGATGACGATCGTAGAATAGAAGAAGAGAGAGAGAGAGAGAGAGAGGGAGTAACTTGTACTAAAGAGAAGAAAAAAAGAAAGTAAGAATAAAGAATGAACACATACATAGTCACTCTATGTAGATAGACATTCTTTCTTATCGATGCCGATGTTCTATTTTGTGTTGGCATCGATGCGTATCACAGAAAATGAATGGACTCCTACGGTTTCATAACGAACATTTAATGAAATGAAAAGGTCAAATCAACGTCAATTTTACGAGAATCAAGGAGAAATAAAAGTGAAATCATTTTTTAATTATTTAAATGATCCAATAAAAATGTACAAAAACTGTTGAAAATTAAAATAAAGATGCAAATAGTGTTTTATGATTAAACAAAAACTCAAGTGCTAATTTCTTCTCAATAATAAAGACCATCGTTAACTGAAAGACATCGAAGAAGAAAAGTTTGTTCTATCGTCTTGATAGTGAAAGACATAAAAAAAAGACTGACTAGATTCGCTTGTTTCTGTCCGTGTCTGTAGTGCAGTCAACGTCTCGTAACTGTAGTAGAAATGACTATATAGTGTAATGGAAAAGGACATCAGCGCATTAGGATTCAACTCAGTCGAAGAGTAGGACGCCTTGAGAAGTGATGATCATCGTTATTAAATTATTCAATGGTTCGATTGATTGTTCCATGTTGTACACATGATGATGTTATGTAATAGTTATACAGAGAGTTAGAGGATGACTTTAGATGTACGATTACGATTAAAGAAAATTACATTATTTGGATAATGTGATATGAGTTGTATTTCTTTTTTTGGGGGCATTAAAAATAGCGCTAATGTAGCTAATTGAAAATCATTTTTATTGATTTCTACATACTATTTATAAATCATAATATGTTACAGAGAGAAACGGAATTCGATTTTTCGACAAGATTATTTTTAGATAAAATTAGAATTTCAGTTTTGTCCAGATGCAATTAAGATGGAACTAGGAGTGCATTGATCAAATCGATGACGATTAGAGTTTGAGCAAATAAAGACGCTTTGTATTTCAGAAATGATTGTTGACATCAAATATTTGTATAAACTAATTTGTCAATAGAAAAAAATAGAAAGTACATTTAGTGTTGAGCTTTCAAATAATTTAAAATCGACCTTTACAGTAATATTATTATAGATTGACAGGGAGAAACATGGGCGGCAATGAAAGAAAATATCTCACGCCATGAAATCTTATCAGAAAAAAATTTTTTTTTCTCTGTACTGCATGTCATTGTAAACTTGAATCTTGTACAAGGTCTTGATCCATTGGTTAGAACTGCGCGACCTACAAGTTCTGCATTAAAACACATTGTTTCTAAAATAAATAATTGGTGTAAGATACACAACAACTTCTTCTGTTAAAATTTGTCCTTTCTACATCGACTTCTGATTTTGCTCAGATAAATTTCAATATCGATTATTACGTATGGATGGATATTTGAGACGGATTTTATTCGAAAGATAAATAAATGAGGAAACATCGGATTCGCATTCGATTGTTATGTGTACTGCAAAAACTGAGTCGATTTAAAGATGTTTTGAATAATTCTGAGAAAAAAATGTGTTTTTTGAAAAATCCCTGTACCCCCCTCCCGCAGGAATGGTCTGGCCAATAATGACAAATTTTCGATAACTCAGCCATTTCTTGACGGATCCTTCTCATCTTCGAACTCGACTGAGATATTGATGAGATCATTCTGTGTAAAAAATCTCAAGACAATTGGATCAGGCTTTCAAGAGTTATCGTGTTAACGGCCGGACACACTCATCGAATCTAGAGTGTACTCACTTTTTTTGAGTACACAAAAAGAAGCCACAGACTAATATGAACGCTGAAACGTCGGAATGTTTTCAATAGAAAAAAATTTGATTTGAAATATTCTAACTTCTACTAATTATAAAATTATTGCCAGATGAGTACTAAAGCAAAATTGAATCTAGTTTCAACAATAGGATAAGCAAAATAATTGACTTAATTCTTGTAGAAAATCCAATATAATTGTACATAACAAATGGAACTCTATTAGGCAAGAGTATTACGCTGACAAGCGATTCTCTATAACGTAAAAAATTGATTTTGCGAAATAAATCGCTTTTGTATGCTAAGTCATCTCTTGTATGTTTCTAGTACCATAGTTAACGTACACTTTCGTTTGCATATATTTATTTGCATATCTCGATCTCGTCAGTCTATCTCCAAGTGCATCGAATTTTGACAAGTAGCTACTACTCGTCTATCAAATCTTTACACTCTTACATTTCAATGCCTGAAATCATGTTCTTGAAAATCAATTAAGTAGTCATAGTAAGAATATAATCGAATCGACTAAGCCGTTTTATTTCAAATATTCCGATAGAAAAAATTTAATTAGAGAACCTTTTTCTTTTTCATCAATTTTGAAATAATTTATCAGTGGAAAAGACGTTCAACAAAACATCGAATTATATTGATATTGAATTTTATTTTTACGCTGACATTCGTAACCTTTTAAATAGCATTTCAGCAAGGCTATTATTATCAATAACAAAAATTAGAAGCCTATTAGTAAGATTCCATTAAGCTGATTATAAATAAAAGAATATAATCTTTCAGCCATCTTCGAATTGCAAAGAAGTCTAAAAAAAGAATGATAGTTTCTGTCTTAGCAAAAGAACACAAAATTACATAGTCAATTCCTAGCCACAACGAGAAATGAGCATCTTTCATTTGAGTCTTACTATTTTAAAAAATTATTCTCTAAAAAAATTCTTTTACAGTATAAACACGCACAGAGATATTGATTCATACTTGTATAAATCATTTTTTAAGTCAATTAGTAAAGCTGTAATTAGAAAATAGATTCTAACTATCAGTTTTATCGATGCTCAGTATTTCACATTTAGTTACAAGAGCATTTTTAATGCTCGTAATCGACCATTTGTCATGACTGTTATTGAAAATCAAGTCCTTGAATAAGCAAAGCATATCACGTTATATTTTCAATTCATAGTACTTTGATGGATTTCTATGCTTTGAAAATAATCTTGGTGGATTTTGTATGGCTCCAAAAAATGCCGACTTTTAAAAGAATGTCGCGCGTCGGTGAATTTTTCTAATACTGAACTTTCTAAAGACGACGTCCGACATCAAACATATGCCTGTTTTTATTACGTAAAGACACGTTGACACAAAAGAAATAGTTACTCATATAAAAGTTATATTTTCACTGACCAATGCTTATTTACATTTGCTATTAGTAAAGACTGATCTGTCGACAATTCCTTCACGATATACATATATAAATTTGTTTGTATGATTATGTTTTCTATGACAAAATATGAGAATTAATCATATAGATCTAAAATGAATAATTCACATTCCATCTATCAATTAACATTCAGTTCATGCGTAATCGTACTCAACTTTGATCATGCACTGTCCATAAAGTACACGATTATTCGCGTTATTTTCAATCAGAAATTTACAAATGCCAAAATTTAATTGCCCCTGCCAAAAAAATCAATAAAACAGCAAGATTCGTAGTCTTAATACGTTCGAATACTTTTGCATGTGTCATATTGTCAATTTTACGCAAAACGAATGCCTTTCTTTGCACTATTTCTATGATACAGAGAGATACTACCTAGGTAAAAGCTGCTATTAATGACGTTGAAGCAATCTGGAGATATTTTTAAAAAAACTCAAGGCAAACGATTAGATATATGATCCATTGTAAGCGGCATCATCAGCATACAAGAAAGTTCCATGTAAAAAAAGGAAGAAATATATTTATATTGATCGATCAAATTTCAAAATCAAGTGCAAGTTCGTATTGCAACACTGAAAATATTTTTGGTAAAAACAACATAGAATTATTTTTAGTTATTCGATATCTCAATGATCAATAGTATTGAAATATTTTCGGTGAAAACAACATAGAACTGTTGTTAGTTATTCGATATCTCAGTGATCAATAGTATTGAAATTTTTTTGAAATTTGAAACCTATTCAACAATATTTAGATCCGTAATAGTGTTTATCAAAACAGAATCAAAACATGACTAAGTCTTCTTCAGATATAAAAGCCATTTCTCATATTGTCAAGGAACATTCACATTTTTGTCATATCGAACAAGTATGAAGTCGCTGATTGTTGTATTGGTTTTCGCCTTATTTTCATGCGCATCAGGACAATGTATTAGAGATATTGAAATATACTTATCTGATCTGATTCATCTGTTTCCATTTAGCTTGCAGTAGCGGCAATCCTTGTCAGTTGGATGCAACTTATACACCAGCAGCTGGATATCAATGTATAGTACATGCTTCTGAGACCATATGCACATGTCCTATAGGATTTGAACTTAATAGACCTTGCCGTACGAAAATAAAAGTATATAAGAAGAACTATTTTAAAACAAATTCTAAACATAGGTCCGTGCACTCGAATGAATCCTGCAGACAATATATGCAAAAATGGTACTGGAAGACTAATTATGTGTCTTGATACTGTTGACTTTGGCTCGACCTATGCATGTCTGTGTAATGATCCCAGAACGAACCAAGAAGCAGTGACACTTGATCCTAACTGTGGTTAGTAACAAATCATAATTAGATTGTTTATCCTAATTTGAATTCTATTCATTTATTTGTATGAGCTGAATAAAAAAAGCATCAGTTGTTTTTTACTATAGATTTAAGTGTCACAGAGACAAGCTCAATGCCGACTACACCTTCATTGAATTGTCAAAATGGAGGAGTTCCAGCAAATGGCTTTTGTAACTGTCCAAGTGGTTCCGTTGGTCCATTTTGTGGAACTTTAGACAGTGAATATTTTCGTTTTCGTAGTCATGGAAGTTTTCAAGCTTTCTTTTTCTTTCTATTAAGATAGTAAATTATGCGACAGGATTATTTGTAAAAATAGTGGTGCCTGTGCTATTCGAAAAAAGGCTGCGGGGTATGAGTCTGTTTGCCTCTGTCGAGCTGGTTATTCGGGAGAAGCTTGTGAACTAACTGGTAAATGTTTTCCTTTCGTTTTAATCTAAAAAAAAAATTATTTTTAGGAACTGCCGGTTTTTGTTCATCAACTTCGTGCCAGAATAATGGTGCATGTAGAGAAGAAGTTATTGGTGCAACACGTAATGCGTATTGCCATTGTCAAGCTGGATATAGTGGAACTAAATGTGAAATTCGTATGTATTCATAGGTCTTTTTTAAATGCACAACGAAGAAAGTGTTTTCTCCTAGGACACTTTACTTGTACTAAGCCCGGTAAGTTTAGTGATAGTAACATGAGTGATCAAGGAGATTACTTCGAATGTACACCATTGGGCGCAGGTAAGAAAATGCTAAAATTGCTTTAGTTTTCGTGTATTTATTAATTTTATTGGCATTCTTAGGATTTCGAATCGAACAAAAATCATGTCCAGATGGACTTCGTTTCAATACATTATCCGGACTATGTACTTATTAAGAATTTTACTACTGACAGTATTATTTTATAATAATAAATAAGAAACTTTTCACTTTTCCGATTTTTCGTAATATTGAAATACAAAAAATAAAAGTCTTTAATTTCGGTTCGCAAGTCGTGATACCACAGTGTTGAATGAAATATTCATTCTGCAAAGGCTAGCAATCAATCTTTGCTATTTAAAAACTAGATGAATAGAAGATATTGGTAAAATCGAATTTTAAAAGAGTTTTATTACAAATAATTCAATTCGTTGTACGCTGCTGCAAACAACCTGCACATATCTTTTATTTCTATTTTTTGTTTGTTCGAATAATTAAAGCAAATGAAATCGCTGAATGAAACAAATATTAAACATAAAAAAGTAAACTCATATATACATTCAAAGATTTAAAAACAATTCTTTGAAACAATTCAAGGAGTTAAAAAATATATAAGCGAGATAAATGGCAGTTGATTCGATCTGTGTGCAAGTTAAATTCATTGAAGTTTCATGAAGACTAATAATCGTAGGATACCTTCGTGTTGATTGTCTTTTGTTATAACACAAAGCATACTGTAAAATAATAAGACTTCTTCAGACAAAATAGTACTCATCATTTTGCTTCCGCTGTTTTTCATTGATTTCTTAGATATTTTAGGAAACCTTGAAATTATTAGCGCCATCTCAGTGACTATTTGAATGCATTAGCTTGTTGAAATTTCGAAAAAATTTACACCATCAGATTTTAATATCGTATTATATTTTTAAACAACCATAGATGTTTTCTATGTTTGACTTCGATATAGTGTTGATAATTGTAAATTATTTCACAATAGATTAGAAAATTGCTATAAAATGCCATTCATTTATTTATTAAAAGACAACTTCGGGAAAAGAAAAATTTTCTTTTTGAGTGAAGTTATAAACAATATTCAAAAGCTTTCACGCTTCAAACAAAACCAAAAGATAGAGTATATCTGGGTTTCATACGTCTTTGTTGATTAAGAATGTAGGGCAAAAGTTCAAAGCGAATTAATGAGATCTTTCTTTCGATTAATTTTTATTGAACTATGTTTTCACTAGAAATTTTTACATCTGACTCCAGGACAAGGAGAAACATCGACTAAAAATGAAACCCTAGAACAGAAACCTTCGATCCTAAAGTCAGCAGATGAGAACATCTAGGAAATATTTTTATCAGCGAAGATAAATTGCAGTTGTTTGCATCTTTAGAACTCAATTATCTGTTAGCATGCACATCGAAGACATTTTTTTCTTATATATCATAGTTGAAAATGTCGTATTAATAAGGTGTAACCTTGTCATATTTTCTCTTTGTGGAAAAAAAACAGAATTGATCCAGCACTGGCTTTTGAACCCTTCCGAGATGATTTTCCTTTTTTCTTCTAGGTGTAGAATGCCGACCAACTTCTTTTTGAAGAACACCTCTTAAATATTTTTTTCTACTTTCCACAGCCATCAATTGTCAAATTTTTCTACTAATAATGGTAATAGTAAATAAATTGTGTCGGTTACATTCATTATGATGAAAATTCATACAATTTACAAGAAAAAAGATTCATTTTGTTTATAAGTTCTTCAATTTTTTCTTCAAAACACTTTCAATGTTAGATTAGTGCAGTTAGACGACCTTCCACACATCTGAAAGTGTCGCCATCTTTCCTTCAGGAATACACTATGACCTACAATAGAAATACTTCAATTCTAGACAAAAATGTCTTTTATGAACATTCAATATGTTTAGCCTATTAAAGACGGGATGCTATGTCAAACAATAAAAAGAAACACGTGGATGAATTGATAATAACAAAATCATATCTATTCAATGATAGCACAGAATTCGATGAAATATTTGAGATGAAAAAGATCAGCGAAAGAATAGTCGAGAATGCTTATGTAAATTTGCTTCACGTCGAATATTGCAAATTTGGTTTTTATTCATCACGGTGAAAAAAATGTTTATCTATGAATACAAAAGCTGTCATATTGAGTTCTTGTTTTCAATCGTTTACAGTGAATGCTCTGTGACGGATTTAAGGTTAGGTTTACATCATACGATGTTTTTTTGACCTTTTCGTAAGAATTGTCAACCATTTGAAATATTAAAAGGTTCATTAACACTTTATGATGAAGGAAAATCAAAGAACTACATTTGAATGAGTCCAATGGTCTATTTTTAATTTCTAATTGCCAGTTTACGACATATTGCATGTCTGGAAAATCTATGCCATAAATAAAACAAAATAGTTATTTTTCTCATATGGTTATTCTTGTTTTTAGCGATGATTGAATCGTTAAGCATTTTCCGACATTGACAGACACGAGTATTTTATTATTTTCGTTTCATCTAAATATATATATATATATATTTTGAAAGTATGCGAACATCTTGAGATTAGTTTAGTGCACAATATGATTGAAGTGCCATCAAAATATCATATTATTCAATACGGAAGAGAGAACCGTAATCTTCAAGCACACTTCCATATTCTGTAAATATATATATATATCAAAAAGCGTTTTCCTTAATATAAAAATAACTTTGGGTACAGAAAAACATTTATCACGAATTCAATGGCTAAATCTAATATGAACCTAAAACAATCATGCGCATGCATTCTTTTTTTTTGGTAGAAAAGTTTTATGTGTAACGGAACATTTATTTTTTCAAAAATTTCTATAAATACTTGGATGGCGATTAATTATTTCTATTACGCGTTCTATAGCAAAAGCGGATTGTTTTGATAAAAACAACCATTATTTGATAAAAACGGAATTAAATGAACTAGTTAGCATATCGTAAAAATAAGATAGAATAGTTTTTGTTGTAGATGTTCAAATATAAAATATCAATTAACTCAATTTATTTTTTTTTGTCAAATATTTAGAGATTAATTTAAAAATGAATTTGATATAGAATCAAATTACAAATATCAAACATTTTTTTATTTATATTGGCTTTTAAATTTGAGAAAACCCGCTTAACATTAAAGTTAAAAAGAATTTGTAAATATTTAAATTTTATATCTTGTGATCAAATATTCGTTTTCCGCCGAATATTTTGCCAAAAGAATGAATATTCTAAAAACAAATGATACCAGATCTGGCACTGATTCAATGAGAAAACACATGACATATTTTAAGTCATATTCGATCCATAATTTACGAATACAGAAACAAATCTAAAAACAACAATAAAAATAAAGAACTGAATATCGTTGTTTTTGCTTTCATGTTAAATGTAAAACTGATTGCATCATCATATGTAATTGATCGACTTGAACGGAGCATTCTACTATACCATAAATTTCACTGGATACATTTTGTAAATGCAGAACTGTTGTAACTATTTTTGTGTATGCTAATACGGCTTGCTCTTCATGATCGAGAAATTTTTCAAGAATATAATACCACAATAATTGAGTATATTCATCATAGGCATATTGTATCAGTTGCCTTGATTGTTGACTGATAAAACCGGCATCATATAACGATTCATTTGTAAATAAACATGGGCAGAATAGGAAGACAACAATTAAAAGTATCAACAATTTGTTATCATCGGATGCAATATAAGAAAATAATGAACTCGCATAGGCCATCTTATGATTAATATTATTTAGACCAGGATGATTAATAAGAATTTGTACATCAAAAGCTTTACACAATAGGTGAGTTAATATTGGTAAAAGAATTTTGATATTATTTTTCAAAAGAATAAGTCTATCATCAACGGGTAATTGTTGAAATTGAGATAGTTGCTTAAAAAATATAATTAAACATGATATTGGTGTAGAATATAAATTAAGAACACTTGTTAAATCATTATCAAAGCTGAGAACAAAATCCTCTGGAAAAATTGTTTGTGTATTTTCAACAAACAAATCAAATATTAAATCAATATAATTTAAATGGCTATTTGGGAATAAATATGATGTTGAGCAGACACCCTGCTGAGGACGTTCATCCATAATTCTCTATTTAGAAAAATAATGAATGAGTGCGTTAAAATAATTATATTCTTTTTTTTTCTGCTGAGAGAATATTTAATTAACATACTAATCTAGTTTCTTCTTGTTGTTGTTGTTGATATTTTTTAAATTTTTGTTTTCGATTTTCTTGAACTAGTGCACGATGACGTTGATTTTGTTCTTCTGTTCGTATACGTTCTTTAATCATTCCCATAGTAAAACATTTCCGTAAACGGCATGCTGTACATTGCCGACGTGAACGTTCGTCAATTTTACATTCTCCAGATAATCGACAAACAAATTGATTCTAGAATAGTATTGACATAATTTTATCCATTGAAAATTTTCATTAATCTTATGATAGGATTCATTTTTAAAATCGTAAGAAATCATTGTTTTTTCCGCTCTACAAACTCACATGTAAAATTATAGATTTTATTTTTAGTAAAAGCAAGCTTCTAATCAGAAAAATAAAGTATCAATCTATAGAAATATCTATTATTTTTTTCTTGATTACTGAAGAGCAAAAAAAAAATACTCTTAAAATACAGAAAGTCTTTCAGAAGATGTTAATGAAAAGAATCATCTATTACGAAGGTTGCTTTTTTGTTTTGAAAAGGATGAATTTACATATCTTACTAAAAAGAAAAACAAAACTCACCAATGGTTTAACACCATTTCGTCGAAAAAATGCTTTACATGATGAACACTAAACAAAAGTATAAACAAGAAAAAGTCATTTCTAGAATAATACAGCTAATTAGTAATTCTATTTACAGTCAATACATCAAAATTAATTCCTGTTGGTTTAGCTCCACATATAGCACAAGATCCTCGTCCTATTTTAATCTTTTTATGTGGTATTGATGATGCATCTGAGATACTCGTAGGTTCCATGAGCACAACATTTGAATTACCATTAATTGAGTACATCGTTAATAATGAATTAAAATTAAGAATAGTTGAATACGAATATAATCTAAAAATAAATGAATTGAAAATGTAGGTTGTATAAAATTGAAAACGCAAAAAAACTTCTTACAATGAGAAAATTTACACGTGTGTATAGAAACCTGAAATATTTACGTTAAAAATAATTTTTCATTTTTTCTCCATTATTACTATATCATGTGTGAGAGAAAAACAAAGTGCCTATATAATTTCTTTCACTTGTAAAGAATCGCGCAAGTAGTCACTTGCTATGTGCACAAGTGGTAAACTAATATGAAAGGGAAAGAAAAGCAAAAAAGTAAATGCGAAAAAAATTATTTTAACTACGAACTCCGAACCTTTTTTGTGGGTAGGAAGCATAATGCTTCTAAAATACTGTCGACCGAAGTACTGGCTTTTCTTGCCTATAATCTATTTTTCCAGCTAAAATGTCGCTCGTGAATGTCATCTATCTGAGACAGTTTTGTCGCTCCTCATAGTCTCAACATGCTTCTTTTTTTCTTCGTATTCTCTTGTTCTGTATATGAAAGCAGACAGAGAGAAAAAAAACTACCTAAAGTATGTTGCTGACGTCAATTCGACCGAGAATCATCGCCTATCGATGAGGAAAGAACGCACACAATCTTTGTGCTTTAAAAAAAATAAATGTAGAACGTAAGATTAGTATCCAAATATTTTGTTAGTTGTACATTTAACCTTCTTCGATATTGTTTCTTTGATTCTTCTACGATGAACTTCGAAATCACATAAATTTATGTATTAAATAAATTTAATGTTCAAATAAAAAAACTTGTAACATTTGTTTTTGAATAATAAAAGAACGCAAATATATTTTTTTCTTCTTCTTGTCAAATTTATCATAATTACTGACACATATACACACATACATATGATTGATTCGTTAAGAAATAAATGTTTATAATATATATATATATATATGGCACAAAAAGAACGCAAACACAAACAGAAAACTGAAGCGGAAAAAGCATATCGAAGTTGTTTTTGAATCTAGAACAGTTTTGCCATCTTTTTCAGTTCTTTCTGTCTCCAGACGGGTTTCGCTGTGTATTCGGCATAGGTCATCTTGAAGTGTTGAAGAAATTCATCATCATTTAAATGGATCTGTAAACAAATAATTATATATACGTATATAAATAGATTTATCTTTCATTATCGAAATTAGTCAAAGAAATTAGATCATTTTAACATTTCAATGAATCAGATGAAGTGCAACGAGAACCTTTTTGTTTTACTGCGTTGTTAAATTACAAATGGATAAACACACACTGTTTGCATCACTCCACGATTTTATGTTTTCTTTAGTTCAGAAATTTAAATAGAAATTTCAAGCAATGTAATATGGCTGAATTTCTTTTTTTAATTTTCTGGAACGTCCATATTAAATTTTATCAAGTAAATAAGAGCCACTAGAAAATATGTCTGGATAGATTTATTCTATTTTTATTTTTGAGCCTCATGTTACTCGTTTAATCTAAAAATGCTGCAAAATAATTATCTTGCCTAACACGAAAAGATTAAATATATAAAACAAAAGCATGATTTGAAATCTTATACTAGTTAAAGAGCTTTTCGTGTAGACAGTTTTTATTAAAATGAGTCTTTCCCTCTCGCTTATAACCATTCAAATGTTTCCTATTAGTAGTTTTTCTTCTCTCCTAATCCGATTAGCTCTCAGTGTCTGTTCTTGTACATGTTTGAATCTATAAAACTCTAGCTCGTAAGAGAACAACTATCATTGATAGATACATCATCAAGAGATAGATAATGTTCATAGCGAAATATTGAAAGAACATAATGATGAAAAGTATCAGTTATCCGTAGTCAACTGAAATATGATATAACTAAATTTCATCGTGTCTACATGAAAACGAAGTAATATAAAGAAAAAAAGAACCTATGGCGGTTTTATTACTTCTCTTAATTCTGGATTGACGTCTTCGGGCAATTCATCGGCTGGTTTTACTAATATTTCATATGAGTATTTTGTTACTGCTGTTCGATTTAAAATATTTTGTTTCTAAATAATAAAAAGGTAAATTTTAGACGTTTTTTTGGAATTGATCACGTATTTGGTTTTTTTTCTCTCTTTATTATTCACCGGTTTATCACGTATGAGCTCAGCATAAATTTCAGGTCTATTATTTGCATGTAGCATTGCTTTCGTTGTTTCATATGATGATTTTGTCTGTGAAATAATTGAAAAAGCAACAGTTGTTTTTATGGTTTAATGAAAACGAAAATTGCTCACTGTCCAATAATTTTTATCCCATGGGCCAAAGAAGCCAGTAAAATGTATCGGTTCATATGTCTGTTTTGTTTTCATAATTGGTGTATCTGAATCGCGATGACTTGGATCAGTACGTAAATAATCAAAAACAATGCGCTCGGCATCTTTCATTTCGGTTTTATTTGAATCTAAATTGTATTTGAAATAGAAATAAAAATGTATACGAAACAAAGAAAATTTTCATACGTTTTCCAATCCATAAGAATACACATGTCCATGCATCGAGTAGCATCACATCGTCTTCATCGAGATCAGCCTAAACAATTGGAATTGTTGTTTTCAATTAGAAATTAGTTCAAATTTTTCCTTGAGAAATTTTTAAAATGCATGTCAATGAATATTTTTTTCTAGCACCGAATATTTGTAAAAATAGAAATAATTAGTAGAGCCTTTAACCCTGTTATTTATAGAAACAAAGATATTCGACGTTAGGAGCGAAAAAAAGCGAACATAGGTGAAGTTTTAATATACTCCATTCATATTGATAACGCTTAAATTTCCATTATCCTTCTAACCTTGAAGTCAGTTGTTACAATTACTCTATACAGCTACTACCAGTATTATTCGACAAGACGTATTTTCAAGGTTTTTTTTACAACTGTTTTAAACGCTAAAAACGAATAGCAATCAAGATTTTTGAATAGAGACAAAGGTCTACAATAAATAAATGATGCAAAATACAAAATGTGATTACGATGTTTCCGAAGATGATTTTTTTATTATCGAAATAACTATGATTCCGGTTGAAGATCTAATATTGCGTTCATTTTTCTTCTAGGAAACGCCACTCTCATTATGCAAATTTTCATAAAATTGCTGTGTACAAACCAGAAAAAGCATCGTGCGGAACTCGAAAGCATTCGGTTGTGCACCAAGTAATTAATTAGTAGCTATTCTTGTCCTTGTTCAACCTACGACTTTATAAGCCAATCTTTATTTAGATCCTTTCTCGCATTTAAGAAATCGGATAATAAGTTGAAAATAAATCTTACAGTAAATACAGGATTTTGAATTAGTATATATATTTCAGTAAATATTATAGTGAATCTATTTTGTATAGTGAAATTCTCTGATTCCAGTTCACTAACGTTAAGTAGTATTTTAAATAGCTAAGAGATACAATCTATCAAGTTTTTCATAAATATTTATTTCTCAGTAGCTTAAATCTCATTTTAAAATAGTTAAAATATTTCAAAAGCCAGAAATCTTCTATTACGAATCACAATAATTATGATGGAAAATTTTGCTTTTGATTTAAATCTAGGTTATTTCGTGAATTTCTGAACTTTTCAATAGCCAACTAGAAATGCTGATTCTTGAAGTTCAAGAACACTTTATCCGACTAGATTAGAATCATTATCTTCGAAAGCAAATAGTTATTCCATAAAGAAAGTATTGAAAACAACATCAAATAGAACGTACAAGAATTTCTCAAGTCAAAGAAAATAGCCTTATCATTTTAGCTTGAAGCAAAAATATATCACTACGAGATTTCGATCATTATGAGATCAAAGCGGTTATCTTTTCTTTTCTTTTTTGTACCTGTGTAAAATTGGGGATTTCAGTAACTGTTATTCGTCCACTAGCATTTGATATTTCGTAAAGTCTTGCCGGATGATCATTTATACTATTTAATGATGATTGATGCTCGCCCAGACGCTTATCAGAAGCATATGCTTCTTTTCCATAGGGAAAATGGCTCCAAAATTCTTCTTTTTCTTGTCCTTCAAATACCATAATTGGTTCTCTTAAAACAAAAACAATCGAATACAGAAAACAATCAATGATGTAATTCATTTAATGCATACCTCGATTTTGAACTAGCGACGACTTTTGACATTTCACGTTCATCTCCAGTTGATCCTTTCCCACACCAAATATAAACACAATGTGCAGTAAATAAAACAAAACAATCATTCGAATTTAATGATGAAGCACGTAAATCAACCTAAAAGAATAATTCATATTGAACAATAGAATTATTTTCTTTAATGACATATTCAATAGACAGTATTCATCATATTTTTATGATCTACTTATATAATTGATTTTAAATCATCATGGGAATCGATCAAGTCCATAGAATATCAGTCTTAGTTTTTTTTTCTTTTTTTGTTATAAAATATTTTCTAAAAGAAATTCAATCACAAGTTTTGATAATAGACAGAATTTTGAATGGTTTACATTTTTATGATATGTAATAGGAAAGAAAACCTAATTATTTATGACAAGCATAATTTTACTATTGAATGGTGTTGCTTTTGTCATAGAATGAATGTCTTGAAATAGACTGAGAGCTTAGAATATATATCTCCCTGGACAAAAGCTCTTTTATTCTGCCATCGAATCATTTTTGAGCTCATACTTCAGTATGAGCTGCAGGGTCAATAGAGCTATTTGCAGTTAGGTTGCTTTAACATAAATTGAATTATGATCAATAGCGTCTAATTTTGCTTTAAATTTTATGACTCTGTAGAAGTTGAAAGTTATGGATCCGCAAATCTATCGTTATCTAACACTGGGACTTAGCTGTGTTATAAAAATTTTATGAAAATTGGAAAATCGTTCTTATATTAGACCCTAATTATCGGTATAGAAAACTGCTCACTAGTCGTCCCTTCATGGTCTGTAAATCTATTGATAGTTTGATATATTAAATTGAAAATTGTTACAGAAAATGTTCTGATATTATTTTCTAGGGATTTCAGGATCAATCATGTATTGAATGAGAAACAAGATTTGCGCTGCTCGGCACTCGTCTAAAAATAAACTCTATCGAGCAATACACAGTTTACACTTGAATAAACAAGAGTCTGATGTTGCACGAATAGAGAAATTACCAAAGATCCACTCCCTACAATGATTGACATCCGATGGGCGGAAGACACTTGTAGCTAGAGACCATTAAAACATCGATAGCTAAATTCGAAACAATGTCGGACTTAAACCATTCGACAGCTGACGTCTATCGCATTATGTTCGTAATATGAACTCAAGCGATGCGCATATGCTATGTATATTAAGAGCGATTGTTTTTTTTTAATTAAGATTTAGATAAAAAATTGATGAACTAGAAGAAACTCAATCTCAAATTGTTTTTCAATTAGACATATGTCTACATTAAATCGATTATATTTACTTGTACAGCTTTTGTATCATATTTTGATATACCACGCACTTGCAACAAATAAGTGTCTTCATTCTCATTGGTATTTTCATCATGATATTGTAAATTTCTGAAACCACTTCGTTTACCGTGCTAATCAAAAAAAATAAAAGCACAATTGTAATTGAAAAATTCAATAAGCTTATAGTACTTTGAAAATAATCATATGACCTTGAAACATTGCCATAAAATGAGGTGGCTCTTTATCTTGAACAACACGTATGATCGTTCCAGTGCCATTAATTTTTTTATCTAGTTCAACAGCACCAATAGCGGCCGCTGCTTGTTCATCTATACTTGAAAAATGACCTAACCAAAAATAGATTAATGTATTTGAACGTTGCTGATCACTGTATGTATATTGGATAACGAATGAATCTCCAGAGAAAAATGTTCCATGCATTGATTCAGCATAGGGAATCATTTTAAATTGATCGATACGATAGATTTCTTTTTTTCCTGAGCCATTATCAGGCATTTGAGTTGCAGCAGCTAATTCTGGGTGTAAATGCATTGTGTTTATGTCAAATTGGGATGAAACAATTTTAGCTAAAAATTTAAAATAAAATTAGTTTTGGTAAAGAAAACGTTTTTTGTATTATTTTATCATCATGCATAAAGCAATGCCACCGCAGCCTACCTATGTAACTAATAATGTTGTGCAAGAAGAATAAGAGAGTAAGATAATCACGAGAGAAACAATTATAAGAAAAGAAAATTTTAGTTACCTATGTTCCCTTTGCTGTAAGTTTTTCCAAGACCTTTTTGAGCATTGGAATCAATCCATGTTTTAAATAAAGCAATAAATTCCATTGGCTCACCACCGTCGATAACACGACAAACTTTTGTCGTTTTTGTGTAACCTTTCTTTTGAAGAAAACCCTATTTGATAAATAAAAACCCTATGAATTTATGAAAACTAAGCTTATTTGAAGATTTACTGAAAGAGAAAACTGCATTAAAAAATTCTTCGTCAAATAAAAATGAATGGAAACTTATTTCGACTAAAATAAAATCTGTGTATTTTCTCGTCTAAGCCTTTCTCAACGTAAAAAACACCGAATAAGATAGATCTATAATGACAGCATCGGAAATTGAATGTTGCTGAATTTTGGTTGAATACCGTTATGTTTCAATTTAGACCAATTATTTTGATTTCTAATGAATTATTCTACTTTTTTCTTGCTTCTCAATGGCCTTCATACATTCTATCGAGACATCTTAAGTAATAATATGCTGAAAGTGCAACCTTCTGGAAGATTTAATCATTTGACTTGTCATAATATAAATTTCCCTTTGGTGCTGAAGAAGTCATTAACTTTATTTCAAGTTTTTGACATGATGCTGTCACATGAGACCAACAAATTTATATGTACTTACCATAGTGAGAATCAACATACGCAAGGAATTCCATCCGAACACTTATCACTAGTTCGGCAGAATAGGTATCATGATATCATATAACTGAAATAAATCCGACGAATTCTACCGAAAATCTTCCAATCGAACAAGTCATATGAACAAATAATTCAAAGAGTATTACCTTTAGAATATAGCTGCCCGCAAAAAAAAAACGTGATACTAATTGGCAAGCCATAATAAAGTAGAATAGTTTATCGAAAATTGGAACAAATATCAAACTACTTCTCGAATACGTAATTACTAAAAAACGAATTCCTTCACTGCGATAAAACATAGTACGATAAACAATTGACCTTTAGTAATAATCATACTCTAGTTAACCTTTAAATCGGAACTCCAAAAACGATTTTAAATATCAACTTACAAGTGCATTGCGCATTGCTTCTCGTCTCTCCTTTGGATTTGAACGTCGTCCAACCCAAACCCATATTCCATAGGGACCATTATCAATAATATACGCATCCTGCAACATATAAATATATTATCGTAATCGTATATAATATAGATATAGGCTATAATGAACTAACCTCACTTTCTAAATCACTTTTAATTAATGGTCCAACCTTTTTCTCTGTTACTTTTAATGTTCCACTTTCATCTGAACATTTATAAAGTTTAATATGTGCACCTTCCGCACGTCTATCATCATCATCATTTTCATCGATTGTTTCGTTTAAATTTAATTTTTTATCTTTTAGTGGTAATTTCATTTCAAAATATTTCAATTCATCTTTGCTCATTTTCATTTCTTCACCATCTTCAATAATAACAATATTTGTTTTACCACGTTCATCACGTAATTGTCTGGCACGTTGTATAGCCTGTAAACGTTCAAATTTATTTGATCGAGCTCCATTCCATACAAATATGACTTCGCTTAAATCCAATATGTAAACATCTCCACGTGATATATTTGACCAGTCGATAGCTGGCATTTCAAAAAGTCGTACTGTATGACGGCCCTTCAAACGAAATAAACGCGGTTCATTGGTAGATTGATGTCGATGAAAACCAGAAGCAACACCACCTTGACGATATGTAACACCACCGCGAGATTTAAAATAAGATAAAAAGCGTTCACTTTCATTCCCTTGTACTTCTCGATGTTGAACTGCATTGCCTAATAGATGATCGTCTAAATCGAAAAAGAAATTTTATGTTTTTGATTTTTTACAACAAACGCCAGTGATTATATTTTTTTAAAGTTTGTTCTATAGATTGCTTATAATTTTCACTTGTAACTAAATTGGTTATTCATTTTGACTAGAGAGATTTCTCTTTATTTATTCAACGATTTTTATTGAACGGATTAAACATATGAAAGACAATTAAGTATTGACGTAGCCAGACGGTGGCTTACTTTACTTCGCAAGAACAATTGAGCTCTCCTTAGAAATAAGCTTATTCTTGTTTAGTAGCATTAACACAAGGCCTCCTCCACACGTCCTATTAACATAATCAAAGAATGGTCCTCCCTATAGATTTTATAATAGTTTTCAAAAAGAAAAGGACACCGCAACTACTGCTCAATGGTCTATTCTGAGGTCACAATTCAGAGAAAGGGTATATTTGGACGGAAGCTTTACTTAGAAATAGAAAAATCTCTTCGACCTATTGTAAATTGTTCTTTAGTTATTAATGTCAACTATTTTTTCTGCATCGATCTAAAAAAAAGGAATTTAATACAATATTAGCTTTTTCAAATCTAAATTCACCGAAGATTCTCATGAACCTGATAAAGATGATTATTTTCCTGTACAATATTTGATCCAATCTATGCTGTTAGAATGTAACAGATTTGTAAATTTTATTAACAAACTGGAAAAGAAAAAAAACTTGCATAAAATATGAATACTTTTAAGGATGTTGAATGAATCCTTAGAATAGAAGTTCGGTGAAAAGATTATTTTAACGCAGAGGCTTTCTTTTCTTGTTCAAAGTATCCATGTAATAGAAAAGAATAGGAAATGGTCTAGAACATTAATGAATTGTCATACTTTTTCTTTTTTTAATGTGAATTTCAAGAACCATTGAGCATTCTTGTTTTCATCACTTCAAAAGAAAGTTTATATGTCGTCATAGTTGTTTTTCGCATATGTTCAAATGATTTTACTATATTTGTCTATAGTAGACAAACATAACATATAAAACTAGTGCAAGCTATTGATTTTCAGAAGAATAACACTTCATAATCTACAGACGAATAATAAGTATATTTATACTCTTCAGAAACAAAGTGAAACCAAGTATTGTTTTTCTACTTTATCATGGATTGAAATATCTAAATCTTTTGATAACACTTCGTTTTAAGTAGATATTCGCTCGTCATCTTTGTTTTTTTTGTCAATATTATTTGATTAACATTGAATAAACATGATATAGGATGAAGTAAAACTAACACTAAAATTACGAGACACATGTTAATATATATATATATGAATTACGTATAGATTATTTAATGAAAACAAAATGTTCATTATTAAAATTTGAAAAAAAACATTTTCTATTCTTTCAATAAAAATCTACATTCATCTTACCTAATTCAACAGTTTTATAAGCCGCTACACCGGCTTCATCTTGTGTAGCTTCTGAACCAATCCAAAAATGAATATGTTGAATAAGAGTCGACGATGTTGTTGATGATGAACCGGTAGATTTTTTTATTTCTTCAGCATGATAAATAACATAAGCGTCACCTTTAAAAAATATTCCATGAGATTCACGTGGTACAGCGACTAGTTTAAAATTCTTGAAAAATATGCAAAACAAAATTATTATTCTAAAAAAAATTCATTCTAAACAAATAAACCAACCTCAATACGCCATACGCATAAACAAGATTTGTTTTTTGGTATTGCAGCAAAAGCCGGATCAAGTTCCATTCCTCCACCGGCACTGAAACTACTATCAGATTCACTCATTTGCTTCTTTGGTTATAGACTCATACACGTCAGAGCCAATATTAATCTATAAAAAAGAAAACAAGAAAAAAAAATATAATTCGGTCGTCCTAAGCATATCTATTTGTTATTTGATCGGAAGCGCGATTTGTTTGAATTCATTTATTGAGACACGATGGTGATGACCAGTAACAATAATAGCAATAAAAAAAGATGGAGTATACTACCATCACTATTTCTTCTATTCTATTACTTTGTATTCTTGCACGTTCGTTCAATATTGGTACGAGAGAGAGAGAGAGAGACAGAGCATATAAGATGAAGGGTACCTACCTCTTTTCAGTTCTCTTTTTTTTCTCTCTCTCTCTTTTCTCTTCATTTTTTTCTCTAGCTTAGTACGCTGACTAAGGTGTTAGCCTGTGCGATGTTACTCTCCTCTCGTATCGATCAATTATAAGCGCACACGAGATTCAAACAAAAACATCACATACATATATATATATTTATAAATACAAACCACAGTCGCGCAAAGCAAAGCCCTAGAAAAGATTTAGTAACAATAACAAACTATGTGACACCTATATTGCATTACGATGAAATGCTTGAAAGAAATAATGGCAATATAAGGAAGAGAGAATGCGTGAGAGAAAGTCAAGTCAATATTTTTCCTTCTTCTTCTTCTTCTTCGTCTTGTAAAATGCAACTGATGCCATTGAAATCACCGGTCCACTTTCATCGAACAAAATGACAGAAAGAAAAGGTGAATAGCGAACAGCTGTTGACTTGTACACATTGGTAGACGTACAATAAAAATAATGCAAACATTGTACTAAAGAAAAAAAAATTCTTGAATCACTTAAAATGCAAATGTTGACGAACAATGACTCGTCTGTTGAAAACATCAACAGCTGAGTAGGAAGAGAAGAGAAAAAAAGTGAGACTGGATTGCACGGTTGGTTATTTGAGTCATCATATGAAATCAAATTTTACTGAACAGATAGATGTCGATGATAAACCAGTTAATAATGAATTAATTATTATGACACATATTTCTAGCAAACCTTTATTTTATTTAATCAATTCGCCCTTTTTCTATATCTGATTGTCATTATAGGAGATATCGATACACATCTTTATATTTTTGTTTACGTATATTTCAATAGACTATCGTTTTCTTTAATCGCTATCTTATGAGCCAAATTTATAGAGCTTAAAACTAAGACGGTTTTTTGAAGTATAGCATAATTGCTCATAGTAAAATTATAATCCGATTTGGAGGACACGATATGATAGAAAATTATAATCTTCAAGTGTTTTTCAAACATTATTGAAAATAGTAACACGATATGAATATTAGTTCAATCTGTTTTCATAAAACACAAGTAGCATAATTTATTTTCTGAATTCTAATAGTCTATATTTAATAATAGAATTTTACTTTCGTCTTTTTTCTGGTGCGTTTACGAAAATAAAACAAAAGTATATAAATCGATCGATCTTCTAAACTAGAATAGAATCCTCACCATACAACGAAAAATAACAAAAAGAATGAAATGTTCTAGTGAGTAATTCAGATATGTGTGCATGTACTATAGACCTCATTTATGTACGAATACATCTGAACAAGTGGTAATGCATTGTATTATTTACAATGCAATGCCACATTCTCGATAGGCGATGTATAATATACAACGCGATAAATGTGCAATTAATAACCGATTGAACGAAATCAATACAAAAGAAAGAAAAAAAAACCGTCTAAGCACATACACGTTCAATGATAAGATTTTTATCGATATCGATTTGTTATCAACAATAGTAATGATTTTTCGGTTTGCGTCTTAGTTCGCTAGTGATAAATACAACTCTATCAGACGCAAATTTCGAGTGTTCTGCAATTATATAGTTTGAAGAGTTAGTGTAGTCATAAAGATCTTATATAATAGTCGATCTGATTGTAACTGAAAAACATCAAAGTCAGTAAATATTTATTAATATCAATCATAAATGCAATTTTCATTAGTGTCTTTATTGACAACAACAGTAAAAGAATAAATCATTATTAAATGCATGATTATGAATAATTCATCGTCCGTTGTACTTTTATTCTGTGAAAAATTGATAGAATATTACACGTGTAGCATTGTTATACATGCTCAATGCTCGAATGTATAGTTCAAAAGTTTATTATAGATTCATTTATGAAAGAACACATTCAGAGAAAACTGATCGTTTTACATTAAGTGCTAATGAAAAAAATACCTGTTATTCATTGTATTCATAGAAGAAATTCGAACTCGTTATCTTTCCAGTAAGAAAAGAAATAGATTAACACGTTTTAATTGCTTCATATTAGAGCTTATATCAAATTAATTGACCGAGTTTCAGAAAAATTCTACTAACGAAGAACAATAAATTGTTACACTGTAGAATTAAATGAGCACTATTATCATTATCAATCATCTAGTGTTTGAAAAAGACAGCAACATATAAGATGAAGAACGCCAATGAAAATATTTTAATTAGCTTATTTCTATTCGTCTAGCGAAATAGACGAGAAGGTTGGAACATTGAATATTGACACAATGAGAATGTTCAAAATGATATAAAATCTTCGTATAAAATACTAGTTTATTATTAATCGTTAAATATCAATTTAGAGAAATTAAAATTTTTAAAATCAGTTTCAACTATTCACAGATAAGATATTATTATCATTAATCATATATTTTAAATAGTAAGGAATAGGGATGCACCAGTACCAGTATTATACTGGTCTACTGGTCCAGTAAATACTGGTCACCAGTAATACTGGTTTTCTACTTTCGAAAATAACTACCAGCGAAATGAGTAATTTTCTCAGCCGTCAGTTCCGCTGTCTATATTCAAGTGAAAAATTGAGTTTTGCCGCATTTTGAAATACAATAAGATATTCTATACTCAACTAGCTGATAACATTATATAGAACCTTTTTCAATAGTTTTCAACGTTTTTGAAGAGAAAAAGAATTTCATTCATGAATTTAGTCAGATAGTAAAACAATCTTATGAAATAAACTGATGAATCGGAATACTGTGTTTAACATACCAACTTGAACTTAGGTTTAATCGATCTAGAAAAAAACAATTGGATATTTAGTGAAATTTATCAACTTTTAGTTACATAGATCTCATATAAGTAAATTGCTTGATTTTTCTACTTCTCTCTCAGTCGAATGACACTATTTTCACATATATATTGCATTAATTTATGTATATAAGTTACATAGCTAGAGCTAGAGCTTTTTTTGTTCACGATATCGGATATGGAATAGATAATACATTTATTAAATGAAAATTACGGCACGGTAAACAAGCAATGCCACTATTACCTACTCAATTTTGTAACGATACCAATAGTTTGA